TATAATCCCAGTGACCTGGGAGGCTGATGCAGGAGGATAAGAGTTTGAGGCCAGCTTCAGTAACTTATGGAGACCCTCAGCAACTTAGTGAGACCCTGTCTTAAAATAAAAAAAATAAAAAGGGCTTGGAGATGTGGTTCAGTGGAAGAGCACCCTTGGGTTCAATCCCTGGTACCTCCCCCTACACGAAATCAAAATATATGTTGAAATTTCTGAGCTTCTGAGATATCCTCATGCGTTTTGTACAATCCTTTATATTTACAGACATTATTCTTTGGAGGCCTATGATGAGAAAGCACACACACACAAAAAAGAGTTATAGCCAATTGGGAGGACACTTTGCTATGACAAGTGCATACCTCTAGTCTCAGCCTCCTGTAGGGAGCTGTAGGTCACCCATTGCTGAAACTTGTAGGAACTCACACTTGCCTTTTCCCAGGGAAGGAATGGGATAAGACCACAATAACCTTTTCACTCTTTTCTATTCCTGGTAACTTCTGCCCTATTTACGGAAGCAATCCTCCAATCCTTGGTGACAAATGCCACTTGTCCTGTCCATAAAATGCTGAATACAAACATTACATGTCACCAGTTCACCCCTAACTAGCACAGAGTTTTTAGGTTTCAATCTAGTGCTGGGATTTGAAACCATCCTGCCATGTGTAAAGATTTTTAAAAAGTAATCAGCTATGGTCTCCCTGTAAGTCAGTTAGCTTGTCTCAGTTCCACATTCGTAGAGCAGAATACATTTGTCTCTATATGCCATATCATGCAGCCGTGGCCTTAAAATGAATGGCTGAAGATGGGCCATCAGGACTGGCCCTTCCCCCAAATAATGAAAAATCCAGTTTAAACCATAGACTGTGAGCTTTATGCTTGGCTCAGACAAGTGTCAAGCATACTTCCATTAAGCAGTTCTGTCATTTCCATTTTGTGGAAAAAGAAATGGAAATCCAGAGAATGGCATTGTTGCTGGGTTTAGGTGCAGGGTTCCCTCATTCTGGGTGGATACACACATGCGTGCTCAGTTTGAAGAGGAAAGGAGCAGATGCTTACCAAGCATCTATTATGCACCACACAGACCCTATCTCAGGACTTTGTTTTTATTGTACTGATGAAGGCACTAAAACTCAGCAGGGTGAAGTAATTTCCTAGAGTCTACTATGAGGGAAAGAGACAGAGCCAGGGTTCCCACAGAGGTGCCTTTCATTCTATGGAATGCCATGAGGACACCATCGCTTATTGATTTCTATTAGATTATGTGCATATTCCTGATTTAGCTTTAGTTTCATTTTCTTGTGTACAGGGTGACATGGTCTCATTGAATTTAATCTCGGAAACATACTCCAAAAAAAGGTCTACTTACTTCAACTTAATGAGTAAGCTATGTGTTTGGCCAAGTATTTATCTGAGTATTGAGAAATGGAGTTTTGCTACTCAGCAGATTTGGGTAGGTGTGAGTCTAGGACAGATGCAGGATGGCATGTGCAGAGTCTATGGGAGACGACATGGTGGAGGGGGGGGCTTTTCAGGGGACACCCAGCCCGTTC